TCCACTTCTTCTAAACCATTGTTAACCGCAGACCGGACCTGCGCTGCCTGGCTAGCGTAAGCTGCTCCATTGGTCGACGTTGCAGTACTTGTAGTAATCTCATCAACCTGTTCCATATCAAGCTGTTTGACTATTTCTTCAGCTTCAACAGCTTGTCCTGGAGAATCTGACCCTGATGTTCCTGAATTAAGATTTCAGTACACTCAGTCATTACCTCTAAGATGAATCACCAATCCGAATTCTGACGGCCATCATTAGAGTCATGGAGCGATTTGGGTTGGAACAGACTTTCAAGGCCACCCAGCTCCAACCTCGTCATGGGCAGGGACCCCTCCCGCCAGCCCAGGGTGCTCCAAGCCCCGTCCAGCCTGGCCGTGGGCACCGCCAGGGAGGGGCTGCCAGAGCTGCTCTGGGCAACCTGCGCCAGGGTCTCAGCACCCTCAGGGTGAAGAATTTCTTCCTAAGATCTAATCTAAATCTAAGACAGCTGCATTTGATTCACGTTATGAAAATAAGAACCAAAATAAAGACCATGACAAACGCCTTTTGTGTTCAGGACAAGAAACTTAATATAAATTTTTATTGTTTCTATTTCTTATTTTTTTAAGTAGGAGGTATACCCCTAGATACTTGCACCTATAAAAGCAATTTTCTAAAGCATATAAACTTATTGTTTCTTTTACTAATGAACAACTCTACTAAGAATTAAGTAGCACTTCATCTGGCTGTAGTAACTCTTGATCTGTAAATCAGAATGAAAAGTGCACTGCTGCTCAAAAAAGCTTTCTCTTAGAATAATCTATCATTATTCGCCGTAACACTATCGTTTTTTAAACAATACTCACCATTTTTATTTGCTGGTGAAAAAAAATTGAAAACAGGAGAAAATATGGTTCCCAGTAACGTAGTTCGTGGGGGACTGCCAGTGGAAGGATTATCTTCTAATTTTCCATTTTGCTTTACATGTTGGTTTGTCATTTCATAAGTTCCAGCTTCTGTAAAAGAAAAGTTATAAAGTGTAACACCTTGCTTGTGTTTCAGTTATATCCTCTTTTTTATTGTTATCAATTTGACTATAGGAAATATGCCTCTTGCTCACAGTTCAACTTTGTCAACAAGAAAATAACCCCAAGTATTTAATTAAAAAAATAAAGCGACTACAAAAAAAGCTAGCAACGTGGTATCAGCATAAAAACAAAGTGCCAGTTTTCAGCACTCTCTTAAGTTCAGGTGAGGAAGCACTCGTTGTTTACACAAAACAGATTAACAAAGGACAGAATGGGCTTGATGACGGCGGCACAGCTCCTGACGCTGCACGCCTCCCACAGCAGCGCGATGTCACATCCGTGCGGCTCCACTAACGGGTAACAAGAGTCAGCGAACTGCAGCAGCTGAACCTCCAAACTCCACAAGATCCAGACCACAGGTTATTATTCTCCGCACAAATGTATGCAGAAATGCAAGTGGCAAGTAAAATAATTTTTAGTCATTATCACGGATAACAAAGGACACAGAATTAAATAAACCTTTGCATTTCAAAACACGCAGCAATTAAGGTTTTCTGTAAGTGTGCATGTGAAGTACATCCTAGAACTAAAAACTGCCGTCTCATGGCTGAGATCCAAGACACAGTTCCGAGACTGAAATGGAAGAGACAGTAACAAGTCCCGGAGATGTCTGTCCATATGGAAGTGAGCAAATGTATTTTGTGCACATGAGCTGAGAACCTTTTTGTCAGCTGAGCCTGATGGAGCTGCACGAGCGCTTCGCACTCCCAAAGCTCTCCATAAAACATCGGGTGCGCCAGCTGCAGCTCAGGGCCCTCCCCGAGAGCGAAGATTTTAACCAAGAACTTGGTACTGCTGGAGCAGTAACGTGGGCCCAGTGCGCTCCACATGCTTATCTCAAACACGTGACTTAAGCCCATAGTTTCACTTTCATCTTGGAGCACTGTCTGCATTCCCCGTGCTGTAAATGGGGGCATTTCCATTATCTCCCCAGGAGGCAAAACCCCTACATCAACTGTAGCAACCCCTGGGAAAAGGGGTTTCTCCTAAAGCCAAGTTACACAGACATCTGACAACCAGAGTGTAACTTTTCCATCACTGAGTCCCTCGTTTGGAGCTCCATTCTCTACTTAGCTACTAATTTTACAAACTCTGTGGACTATGAAATCTTCAGGATTCCTGCACTGCTGACAAAATTGACAGAAACCAAGATAATAGATTCCAAAATACTGGGGGAATGGAGAATGAAAGAACACCGATAAGCAACACAATCACCTAAGTCTTGTTTCCTTAGAAAAGAAGTCTAAAGCCTTGGTTTTTTAAGGTCAGATTCAGCACCACAGCTGATACTTTAAATGTCACTGGCCATTTTACTATGTCATTATTAATATTCTAAAAGAAATTATTTTCCCAGGCAGGTGGTCAAACATTGGAACAGGGTTGTGGAATCTCCATCCTTACAAATACTAAAAACCTGACTGGTCAAGGTCTGAGCCGCCTGAGGTAACTCCAAAGCGAGCTCTCACCTCAGGCTGGATCGACAGCACTGTGAGGGCAGCAGGGGGACAGGCTCCGATGACCTGTAGATGTCTCTTCTGATCCAAGTTTTCCCAGGATTCTGTGTCAGAAATCCATCTATGCGTTTGAAAAGTGCTTTCAGTATCTAAGGACAACCGGTTACTTCCGCAAAGGTCACCACCAGTTGAGAAGTCATATTTATTTTTTGGTGAGAAAATGGGAGAAGAGCTAAATCAAATAATTCTTACCGGGGTTTTAGAATAATATCTTTAAAACAAAAAGTTAAATAGCTGGTCATGTACGTGGTCACAATCACATACCCAAATCATTCTCACAAAGATGCAATGGATGTGTCTGAGAAGCAATGTTGGAACTGTTGCTTACAGCCTTAGAAATCTTATTTCGCTCCTGCCAGCTCAGCTTTGCTCTCACTGAAGTCAGTCACAAACCCCTTAAGAACCTCCCCTGCTGAAGAAATGCCCTGCTGTTGGTTCACAGTTAGTTAACAGCTGTCTGACTTCTGAAGCACATTCAACTGCAACAACATCCAACCAGAATATTTACAAACCTCCATTCATTTGACTTTTCCGCCGTACTCGAGAGATCTGTTTATTAGGCTTTTCTCCTGTCTGAGGTGTGGATGTAATCAAGTTGTTATCTATATCCCGTTCAATTCTACTTCTTTTTGCCGGATTTTCTCTTTCTTCCTTAAAATAGAAAAGGGGGGAAAAAAGAAACATACTGAATAGTGCCTCTTTTCTCCACTGAACACTACCAGAAAACGTTAGCTGTTCGAGAAAGTTTCAAGAAAGATCCATTTCTTGTTCTCCTTCCAGACGCAGAATACGCAGTGTGTATCTGGCCAGCTGGAATTTTAAACTCATTTAAACTGATGCAACTCAAGGTAAATAGCGAAATATCAGGAAATAAAACTGTACTTGGAACTTCTGTAGCAGAAAAGCCGTCTTTAAGTACTATTTCACTGAACAGCCAATTTATAAATATTTAAGTGCTGTGGAACTGGGGAAGCGTAGAGACAAGGCAACAAACACAATCTGAAACTCGACTTCTCTGCCTGTTAAATACATGGGAAGTAAATTGCACAACAATATCCAGTGTGAAATTCCCCACCACGCTCCCGACACAGAGTGGCTGGCAGACCCGTGAGCAGGCACAGAACTGCTGCTGCTCACTCCACATCAGATGGTACCTGGCAAAATGTAGCTGTCGAGAATATTGTAAGCAAGGGTTAGGATCCAACAGTTCTTACCTTTAAGCAAATAACTGCTTGGCCCCGCAGCACTTACATGAAGGATAGAGAATCAAACATTTGTGTGTATTTCCTGTGCTTAAGGCTATGTGTAGGTGCACGTGCTTAAGACAGGTTTCTTCCCCATTTTCCCAAAGCACCTACTGCAACTCAGTAAAATGGCCAATCTGAAATCTAAAGCATGACCACAGAGAGTGCACTGAAACGTATGGTGTGAGAGAATGCAAAATTAATTGAATTAAATATCAAAATAAATAACAAGGCCAGAGAACATCGCAAAGTTAATTAAAATTTCAATTTCAGAATTACAGCTATACCTTTCTGGAGCAGCAGTTTCTCATCTTTAAAAAGAAAAAACAGTTTGCATGCTCCAAAAGTAAAGTAAATAGATCTTTTAGAAAAAAATAATCTAAAGTCTGTGCTAACAGTACAGTAACTGAAGGAAATACCAACAAACATGGAAATGTATTGACATCCCTGTCAGAAGGCAAGTGAACACCACTGATCCCAAATGTTTCCTCCTGGTAATATCCTTGACCAACAACCTTGGTGAGAATCTAGCCAACTACCACCACTTAGAATTAGTATTATATATACCAGAAATCCACAGAATGAGAGAAACCGGATGGCTCACTGAACTGGTAAGAGAACAGTAAGGCATCGCGTCTTCTAGGTCATCTGCTGAAATGTTCAACACCAGGGAAAAATGAGAGAAATTAATTAACTTCTAAAAGCTATCCATTTGCCTTCACAAATGAGTTGTGCTCTCATTCTGCTTTATGGAAAACAAGTGTAGAAATATTACAAAAAAGATGATGGGAACAGGAAATCTGGCTGATGGTGGCACTAAACCTTGAGCCCCCCTTCTCTTTTCTAGGCTAAAAGCCCCAACCCCCTCAGCCTGTCCTCACAGCAGGGCTGCTCCAGCCCCTCAGCACCTTCGTGGCCTCCTCGGGACCCGCTCCAACAGGTCCACGTCCCTCTTACGTTGGGGGCCCCAGAGCTTATGTTGGGGGACACGGTGTGTCAGGGGGGTCTTGGCAGAGCAGAGCAGGGGGGCAGAATCCCCTCCCTCGCCGTGCTGGTCACGCTGCCTGGATGCAGCCCAGGATGTGACTGGTCGGCTCACGGTCAGTTTTCCTCTACCGAGCCCTTCTCCGCAGGGCTGCTCTCAATCCCCTCGCTGCCCAGGCTGTGTCCGGGCTCGGGATCGCCCTGATGCAGGGGCAGGACTTTGCACCTGGCCTTGGAGGTTCACACGGCCCCACCTCTCCAGCCTGTCCAAGTCCCTCGGGACGACATCCCTTCCCTCCAGCGTGCCAACCGCCCCGCACCGCTCGGTGCCATCGGAGAACTCGCTGGGGGTTCACCCAATCCCACCGCCCACGTCACCGACAAGGCTGTTAAACAGCACCGGACAAAGAGGTTGAACAGCGCCGTGGAGAAATACTTGTCAAGATATACCTGAGTTTTATTGACATTTAGGGACATTTATCCATATAACCTCAGTGGTGATTTGGACTTTAAGGTACCCATAAATGAACTACCATGCAAATTGTACCCACAGACAATTGCAAAGAGTTGCAACGTTTCCATGGCAGCCACCAGACTACTGTGTTAAGTCATTAGCGCTCTGGAAGATAGCCCGGCAGTATCAATATCACGCCATGCTAATGCCACGGGAACCACTCCAAGTCCTGGTGCAGGCACAGGAGAGGACATGAAAGAGAAGAGGAAAAAAATGTGGACATTTTATATTAAAAAACCTGTCAAGAAAAAAAAAGAATGAAATGTAATCCAAAGATTTGGGAGAGGAAGAGAAGAGGGCAAGAGAGAAAGTTATCAAAACACTGAAGAGACAAGGGAAAGGAAAGTAGTTCCCCTGTCTTAAAATTTCAGTGTAAAACGTTTTGCTTAGATTTCAGAGTTTTGTTGCAGCAGTTTTGTAGCCAAAATGTAAAATAGATTAATTGCCCTGGTTTAATGAAAACCAAAATGTGAGCGGACCCCGATGTTTCTATGATAGGTAATTAACACATGCCATGAAATACTAGATTTCACTGTATTTTTGACAATACAGAGTATACTACTTTAATTAAACTTATTTCAACTTCAGCTTCTTACAAAATTATAATTTCAACACTTAGCTCAAAACCCAGAAAACACTTCTGAATTTATGGAATACGTTTTAATTTGATTATAACTTCTTGGCTATTCTTTAAAATTTGCAGCTACATAATGTCAATACTGGGACTGCTGGGACTGAATGAAGTTCGTTTTTTCCATAACTGCCCTCCCTCTACAGAAAATACCCACGGGTTTTTGAGGCAAGTGCAAGGTTACGTTCTGTCTATCAAAGTAATACGCAGATACATACAAATCATCCCCAAAATCTACATCCCACAGGTTTTAACATAAAGATCAGTAAAGTCCCGATTTCTGTGCAGAGGAAGACAGAGGAATGCTGTGGTTGAGCCCTGACAACGTTTGAATTTGATCCACTAAGCGGCGGCAGTGTTCACTGCAACGACACAGTCAGTGGACATATTGATTTCAGGGTAGTTCAATTTGTGAGGTTTGACCTTTATTGACTGATGGACTCTGAAACAATTTTGTATAAAAATGCTAAAAATATCTGCCAAATTAATGCTTACAGACTTGCTTTTCTTAGCTGCCAGTACAGGTAATTCTAAAATTCAAGGAATCCTTAAAACAGAAATTAAAAATCTACTGAATTTATTAGTCAGTATTTTCACAAAGAAACACCCAGGTAAAAAATCCTGTGATTTACTGGACTGTCTTAAATATGCCTACAATTGGCTCCTGGAGAGTTTGAAAATCTGCTTGCCTTTTTTCTTTTTTTTTTTAAATAAATTACCTGTTACCTGACACAACTATTACAGGAACTTCTTGCCTTCCAATTCTTTACAAGAATGTTTTGCTTCCACCACATTACATGTTTATTCATATTAAATAGAAATGATTTAAAACCAAATTTAACTGAGTATTGCTCAACTGAAAAACAGAAGAAACCCACTGATGGTGTACCTTGGGTGTGCTTCCTTTAATAAACTTTTTGATTGAAGACAATAAGCCAGTTTCATTTTTCTGTGGTTTTCCTCCGCCGACAGGTAAGCTCTCTTCCACCTCCGAATGTTTCCTCTTTGCCCTCAAAGCACGTTGTGTGTGAATTTGATTCGATTGCTGAGAAGCTTTCCGCGTTCTCAGCCTCATTTTCATGTGTAACACATGTAAAGCTATAAAAGGCAAAAACACAAGAATACTTAGTCATTGAAGAAATGTACTCAGCTTCAGATCATGAATTCAAAAATTATATAACACTGACAGTGTTCTGATGCACTGAGCTTTTACATCCATATATATGGCTTAATTTAAATCAAAGAGAAGAGCTATTTAAGTTCAAGCATAACATTAGTAGAAGAACAAACGGATATAATCTGTCCACGGATACATCTAAGCATTGGATCAATGAGGTGTTTGCATAACCCTCCAATTCGAGTAGTAGGAAGGAAAAATCCACCTGCTTTTAAGATGAAAAGCACTGTATGGTGCCTGGGGTCTTCGCACCAAATGACTAGACCCAATGACCGAGGCCGTCCTTTCCAGCCCTGGCACTGGGTTTTTTAGCGCAAACCAGGACATTCCCCAGGACACTTCATTTTAAGTCTCTACATTAAATTTGAGATGAGGCACATATCTAAGTTCATGTCGTGTTCACAGAAGAAGAAATCATAAATGAGATTACGCATTCAACGTGGCTGAGGACAGAGCAGCTCAGCAAAGGAACCGGAGACTGATCTTCACTACAGCTCTGTTTGGGAATAAGATCAGGCCACAGGAAGACTCCCGCAAGGGCAGTACTTATTAAAGCAGAGCAAAAGGCCGTACCAGGGAACGTGGCCCGTTCATCTCCAGCCTTCAACCGGAGTGCCGGATAGTCAAATTATGTGCATAAATACACCCCCTTTGCTGGACCGAGGGATGGGCCTTCTCCCGCTGACCGAAGCTCATACTGGGGTTGATCTGAATGGGACTACCCGTGTGCTTAAAATGATGCATATATTGGAAGAGGAGCAGAAAAGAGAAGCAGCAAGAAATCAACCTGAGCTGTAATGCACAGAAACGCTGGTAAGCAAGTCACACGCAGCTAGCCAGCTGGAGTCCTGACAAAAGGCATTCTATTTTTTCCGAAAGAAAAGCATCTGCTTATCACGACAGGAACCAGTATCTGCTTCTCTGAAGTTCATTTAGAGTGTATCCTTTTGCTGAATAGACAGAATAAATAATCGGTAACATTTAAAATACTCGTAATGTCACAAGAGCTACCTTGTTTAGGAAAAGGCAACAGTGACACTGGTGTGACTCACAGACTCAGATAGGCTGGGATAATAATTTTCAAAACCAGTCCATAAGCTGTACACAGCTGCATTTGCTCACAGTTTGATAAATCTCAAATGAAAGGTGCTCCAGCTAAAGAAGAATAACAGAACTACTGATGCTATTTTTTGAAGACTTCGCAAAAAAAGTATTTGGCATTGTCAAGAGTGAAATATTTCAGTTACATGTAGTATTTGTTTTAAGTGCCAGCAAACAGGGGGTTTCATTTTTCATACGTCCATGTCCAGCATTTTCCAGTTAATACAACTGGTTATAGATGGGAGAAGGACAAGTCCAGATTCTTAAATGACTGAAGTAACTACAGCAAAAGTGGCCTGACACGTGAGCTTTAAGGAAAGACAACAGAAACTGTAGCCTAAATTTATAAAAACTGCTTCCTTACAATCTTGTGCCCTCTAGTAACAGATGCATTAAAACTCCGAGTCCATAGGAGTATCCTTCCATTATTAATATTTGCAATAAAATTTACATTTCATTCTAAAGGATCTATTATACGTGGGAAAAAGTAATGCAGAGAAAGAATGAAAAAAATCCCCAAAGATTATAATCCGATTTTCCCTTCCTACTCCTTGCCATCAGAAAAATATAACTCTCATACAAAGATGTAAAATAAATATGCCTGTTATCAGAACTTGCATCTCCACTTTTCTTTCTTACAAACCACTGCCAGATTAATTTTTAGGGTATGATTTATAGTGGGAAGGATCCACAACAATAGACATATGCTCCTATTGTACTTCCGTACAAATGAGGAGGATCTCATTATAAAATTGAAGAAATTATCAAGCATCAGTGGACAGATGGTCCAAAGATACCTTAAAACGTGTAATGCATTTTCACTTCAGAAATATTGAGGAAAGGGTTATTTTTATCAACATTGTGTGGATTTAATCATGTACTTTAAGTTAGTACGACTTACTAAAATCATATTACCCTAGGTGGCTGAAAAAAGGTTTCTCAGTGTTCTTGTAGATGGGAGACGAAGGAATTCACAGCCCTAACAGGAGATACAGCCTGAGAAAATTACCATTAAACTTCTAAACCAAATAGTTTAAACATATAAATGTTTCAAATTAGGAATTTTTTGGAATGCAGTTAGAGAAAAACAACACTGCTCTGCTGGGTTAAAAAATATTTTTAAAACTCTCCAAGGGGTTTCCTAGTCCTTCCATGCTTTGAAAAGGGAATTTCATGAGCAGTACGATCAACCTGTTTAGGAATTAACTGGCTGAATTATGAGCCTCTGAAATTCTTCAATGTGGACATTGCAGGGAGCCACACGCTCGATCACAGACTGCATTCTCGAGACCGAAGAGCGAGCAGAGGAGTGCAGACAGCAGAGTCATAAACACTTCAACCATCCCAGCCTCCGCTGGGTTCGGATGGGTGCCAGCAGCCCCAGCAGCCAGGCTCTCCCGCGCCTCTGACGCTGGGAGGCACTGGAGGCTCCACTCCCAGAGGACTCCCTGTGACAGAGTATGGGGTTCAAGCGTCTGGGAACAAACCTGTCAGCAGTGTGTGTGTGAAGGCAAGCACCGAGCGAGCGGTTGGGAGCGGTCAGTCCCCCCAGCTGCAGCCCCGGAATTCCCTATTCTCCCCAACATCTGCCAGTGCCACGACAGAACCACTGAGGCTGAGAAAGACCCTTAAGATCATCCAGTCCCTCTGTTAACACTGCCAAGTCCACCACTAAACCCTGTCCCTAAGCACCACATCTACACGGATTTTCGATCCCTCCAGGGATGTGGACTCCAGCATTTCCCTGGGCAGCCTGTGCCAGGGCTTGACAACCCTTATGGGGAAGACGTTTTTCCTAATGTCCCATCTAAACCTCAACTGGTGCAACTTGAGGCCATTTCCTCTTGTCGCATGTTCCATGAGAGACGAGACCGACCTCCTCTCACTACATGCCCCTGTCAGGGAGCTGCAGAGAGCGAGGACTCCCCTCAGCCTCCTCTTCTCCAGGCTGAACAACCCCAGGTGCCTCAGCTGCTCCTCATGACACTTGTTCATCAGAGCCCTCCCCAGCTCCCTGCCCTTCTCTGGACCCACTCCACCACCTGTGTCTCTGGTAGGGAGGGGCCCAACCTGAACA